TGAGTGGATGCATCTGCGCCACTGAGAACGATTTTGAGCCATATCACCAATTGTTTCCAACCATTGGTTTTTACCGTCCCGAGGACCCCAACCGGTCAGGAAGTCTACACCTTCCTACGTGGCTTAGACTAGCTGTTGTGGATTTCATTGACTGCTGAGGCTATGTTTTCGTTTGACCACCATGTGCTAGCTCTTTTCCAGCCTGGCCCTATATCAGCTAACATTGCCCGTCGAGGAAGGCGATGACTAGGCATACGTAGCACATGTCCTAATCATCTCAGTCGATGTAATTTCACAGTTTCGTCGATTGATTTCCCCGCCTTACCTAGCACTCGACGCCTGACCTCAATATTGCTCACCACTTCACGCGGGAGATAGAACGCAGACACCTATGATCGAAGACAGCTAATCTTTTCAAGTCTGCTGCTCTCAATGGCCAGGTCTCACAGCCATAAAGGAGGACGGAGCTAACAACGCCCATCGAGGAAGGCTGGGAAGCTCAATCGATTGAAACGGCTAGTATATATGTTGCGCACGCAGAGCTACCGCTTTTGTCGATCAGTAATGTTAGCTGAAATGAGATTGGTTAGGTAAAGAATTAGAGGTAATCAAATCAAAACCTGGTACCAATCCACGAGGTCGCCGGCAGTTAGTGTGACCGATTTAGGGAGATGTAGACTGCCTGTTGGGGTCCTCAGGACGCTAATAATCAATGGCTGGAGGCACTTGGTGACATGGTTCAAAATCTTTCTCAATGGCTCAGCTGCATTCACTCTTTGTGGTCACCTATATATATATATATATATATATATATATATATATATATTTCTGCTCATTATAGTTATTCTGAATCTTTTCCCTACTTCAGTGCTACGTGGAGTGTGACCAGTTGAACCGCTGTACTTCTATACAAAGTTCTACGCTGAAAACATATTCAGTCCGTCACAGTACATTTTTGTCATCTTTGTTTATCTGACAGAATATCATTGAATGGATTTCGTTTCCAGTATAATTTGCTGATCGTAACCAAATGTGAAAGATAATTATTCATAGCAAATACTTTCAAGGATCATTATAAAATCAATTAGAATAATTCCAATGCGTTTAAGTAGTCAAAACAAGCATATCCTGAACGCTTTGCTGGGTGAGACACAGTTTTCTCGGCCAAATTACTTGGGACATGCTAGGCTTCGCGCTCAAGTTACTCTAGGAAATTCATGACATCAACGGTTTGGATATTCATATCCTACAATGTGAACTTACTAAAAAGTAATGGGGAAAAACTACTCAAGGTATATAAAGCTTGTGGACCTCATTTAAACGGCTTCCTCAGCTGAAGTCAGTAATCAGAGACTAACTGAGTTTCAACAACGAACTTTCCACAGAAGTGCATCAATTCGCCTGACCACACTGCATGTAACACGCAAAAACAGACGAAAGACAGGAAAAAAATAAGATTCGAAAGATAATCATATACAGAAATGTGGGGAAGAAGGATAGAAACATAGAAGAAATATGACAGTTTAGTGTACACTGGGGATGACAGAGAGTGAGTACATTTGCCCCATTCAGAACGATTTTCAGCCATGTTACCAATTGTCTCCAGCCTTCATTGGTTCTTAGAATCCAGAGGACCCTAACCAGGAAGCCTACAGCTGACTAAAACTAACTGTCAAAGATTTCATCGACTGATTCCAAGTTTTGATTTGACCACCACAAGCTCTTTTCCAATCTGATCCATTCTATGTCAGCTAAGACTGCCCGTCGAAGAAGGTGATGGCTAGGCTAGGCATGAGTAACACATGCACTAACCATCTCAACCGGTGTAACTTCACAACCTTGTTGATTGATTTCTCCTCCTCACCCAGCACTCGACCGATGCCTAACCTTAATATTCCTCACCTTATTATACAACTTAATAAAAGAGATAAAACGCAAACGTTTGTGGTCAAATACAGCTAGCCTATCCATATTTTCTATTTCCAATAGCCATGTGTCTTAGCCATAAAGGAGGCTAGAATGAACTGGCGCGCAGTACACACATCTTTTCACCGATAGCTGGATAACATGTCTACGCCGGAGATGACGTAATTTGACAAATGCCACATTAAACTAATCAGAAACTTCATGAATCCCTGCCTTGCTTCTGTTTAATACGCTTTTTTTGCATAATCTTGTCTCAATACACAACCGAGCTACTTTAGACTGTGAAGACTAATTATGTTATCAAGTAACATACTCCCCTTACTTAGAAATCTACATTTGATCTTGGCATCTGATTCCAAATAAAATGAGTTATGGAAAGAAAGTACAGGTAAGAAATTCTGTTTGTTTCTTACTTTCAGTGGCTACCACTTATCTCCCAGACAGGATCATGAATAACCGAATATTTTGGCCATACATCAATATTCTAGGGATCTGAATTGGTCCAGAATGTAGGGAGTTAAGGCTAACACAAGTATGAACGTAATTATAACTACATGCGTGATTGTCCAAATATTATTATATCCTTAACTGCAATTCATGAGCATGAAAGCTAATCGTTCACTATAATCTGTGAACCTTAGTCCTCAATTATTCGTATTACACTTGCTAGTGATTACTTCTGTAACTTGGTATTTTTATAACACCTTTCAGAGCTTTGGTGATGCATTTTGGGAAATTATATGACCACTTACTTCAGAATTCATTCAGATCAAAGCAGCCTATAAATATGAAGTTTAGTGATTTAGATATGTTTAAATAGGACTTCCCTAGCCCCTACTTAAGTTCTTTAGTTGGGTTGGTATCCCATTTGAAAAGTCATATATAAGAAACACTAACCTGACCTACACAACGAACCAGGATGGACAGTAAAATTAAGGTAACAGTTTTAACCTAACTCTTTAAAAATTTATCGGGGGAAACATTGTGTATCTTATGTATGGGTTCAGCATACTCAACAGAACATTGGTAACAGAGTTTACGAAACGAATAATGAACCCAAAATCATTTGAGTAAACACTACCACCCACTTTGATGTTTGGGTAGGTTATGAGAGATTGTGTGCATTAGCTTATATACAAAACACAGTTAATCATGTTAAAACTTTTGTTGATCTACTCATATAAGCATAATAACTCAATGGAATGATATTGGGGATGGCTGTGAAAGGAGTTCGAGAACAAACTGGACACAATATGTTGTAGACCACAGCTATTCAAGTAGATACATATACGGACCACGGTTGCATTTCGCTAGGGGTATGCAGTTGAGGAATGGACTAATTTTTAAGGAAATATTGCATGATAGGCAACGGCTATACTGATAACAAATGTCGGAATATACGCATTTGATCATAGGGAATAAAAAGACAGTTGCAGAGAAGAAAATTGTCTTTTCAACGAAATCACCAACTAAGCTGTACATTCGTGTATTCATAATAAATGAGTAGGGAAGTTCCAGAATAATTTCTGACCAAGGGTCAGATTAATAAAATTACAATTAGGAATTAAAATGCTATAATAAACAGGGGGACGGATAAAGCTCTTGGGTGGCTAGCTGAAACCCACGCTATGTATCCAAAAGAAATGCGTTCAACCCTTGTTCCTGCCGTGACCATCATAAACAGGTAATTCTTTTAATAGCGACTATCCATTGACTTTCTTATCCCAACTTCCTGTTTATTCATGTTATTTTTAAGTTTTTCTAAATCCCTATTTACACTACCATATTTTCATATCCGAACTTCCTGTCTATTTTGTTATTTTATTATTTCTACATATTTAATCCCTGATTGCACAAAAAATTATTCGTCACATTGTTTGTGATCCCACTAGATTTTTTATCCAAACATCCTGTCTAATTTTGTTATTTCGACATTTCTAAATTGCACAATTTGTCAATCTTCTCAGTAATTATGATAACAAATGTGTTGTTCACTTTTATAAACTTACTTCATCGTGCTCTATTTGAAGTGATTATATAGTTAGAAACAATTGACTATAAATACAGTCTACAACATTTTGCGAGCTATACCCAAGCTTAATTTGGATTTAGCAAACAGATTAATAGACTGGTGATCCTTAAACCTTTCGATAAACAATTTTATCTGAATTCAGCTGCTTTCTTCTACCTATAAAGACTTGAGAAACTATCATATAGTGAATTTTAGATTAAATTTGTTTCATACGAAAACCACTAGGAACCAACTAAAACATATGAAACATATTTAGGAAACCAGCTCAGCTAGCAAAATCTATGGACCCACTGCAAAGAGTGGAACAGTTTGAAGTATTTCCTGCAGTGGACCCGAAGTCAATGTGGGCTGAGAAAATTCATAGAAAGCCAGGCCGAACCCCAAATGAAAACTATGAAATAATTAAGACAACTATCTCTGAGGAAAATCTTGTTTAGTTAGTGGGTTCCTCCCAAAATTCCTCAAAATATTTGCACTGTCTCCAGACGAAAAACAATAATTTCAAACTTCGAGTGGAAAGGGACAATCTACAACCCTTACTCAAATAAACTTCTGTGCAAGACTTTACTGACTTTCTCAAACGTGTCTGTACCACACATTAAACACTGATATCTGCGGGTGGCCTTTAGAACATTTACTTACGACACATTAGTCTAGGAGTAATTTTGCGGAATTTCCGAGGTGAACCAAAGCGAAATTCTGTTCAAAATGCAACAGATTTTCCTTAATATCCCCAATTTTCGCTCGGGAATTCTCCAAAATGTTTTATTTTTGTCCTGAGTTGCTTAAACACGTAATCCTAATACACATTCACTCTTCGTATATACTTGTACTACTAGATAAATTAATTAACAGTAGTAAAAAGGACAAGTTCCCAAAACCCCTGGAGCACGTGCCACACGTGATAACATATACGACTGAAGTTACTAATTTGTACACGAATTCTTGTCCGTTTATCATAGAAGTAGAGCTCAACTATGATGATCATGTTGTGGCTAACTCTGCACTGAATTCTATAACCGGCTTTACTTCAAATACTCACTTCAATTAAGTCACTAAATATTAGTGACGCTACATTTGCAACGCCCACCAGAAACATTTCTGCCCATAAAATATGATTATGTTTCAATGGTTTACACCCATATAATAAAGGATAGCAGACCCTTGTGGTCTGTGTTAATCCTTTAGTGTACGTGTGTCTGTAGTGGTCTAATTTCTCTCCGAAAGCGTTCAACGATGGAGCTGATATTACTTATTGATCGGGTAAGGATTTCCATTCAATGACCACTTATTGAGAAAATCTAGATTCCATACGTATTTTATTTGTTACCAGTTAGAATATTTAGATAGCCTTTTTATGGTGACCTCATAGAGGTATCCTGGGGGGAGAGAAATGGTCAGAAAAGTCAATCCTTAAATAAACCTTTAATATACGACATGCCAAAATTAAGTCACCTCTCTTCATTTTGTGTGATTGTAGGAAGAGATTTAAATATTCCATCTTCTCTTTGTAAGTAAGGTGTGAGAGGCCACTGGCTAGTTAAATCCGTGCTTTTTCTACCCTTTCCAATATGTGTGCTTCCTTGAAGTATGAACTAGTCATTTGTACACAGTACTCTAAATGAAGCTTTACACGTTGCATAGAGTACTCCGGAAATAGAATCATCCAGACTTCGCAAGTCCTTCAGAGTGCTCGCAGCATTCAAAAGGCTTCAGCTGTGGCTGCATTGCAATATTAAGTTGATTTCGAACCATGATAGACAATAGTTGCTGGATCTTTGTGTCCCTTGACATCAAACAGTTTTAGTCCTTCAGGAAGTGCGACGTACACAACCCTTGACATAAATGCATTGCTGTGATTTTTCTGAAATTAATTCCTGAATTCTGTAGATAATACTATTCAGTCAATTTATCTAGATCACTTTGTAAGCTTGACCCATCACCATTGTTGATATTCAGTTTTCCAGAGCTTAATATCGTCCTCAAATATGGTGAAGATTAGATAAGTATTTTCGACATCTCGTTTACGTGTAAGAGGAATAATAAGGGACCTACCGCAGTTGCCTGAGATACTTCACTCGACATTGTTTTCTCCCCTGAGAGTATTCCACTGACCCACTCACACGGGCATTCGTCTAATCCAGAACCTTTCAGTTTGCCGAGGAGACCTTGATGCACCAATTTATCAAATGTTTTAATGAGATCTATGAAAACAATATCTATTGGTCAGTTCTTGTCCCTGTTTTATATCCAATGCCCCCTAGCCAACAGCCAGTTTTTGAGGCAGTATCTTCCTGGTCGGAACCCATGTTTTTCCTCCTCCAGTAAGCCACGTTTCTCCATACGAGCTGATAGCTGATCCATTATGACTGTTTCCAATGCCTTTATTATATTGCTTGTCAGACCCACAGACCGGCATTTAGATGCCAATCAACTTTTCCTGTGTTTGGATTTAGAGCTCATAATTAGATTCTTCAGGTGCCTGAGGTGTCTGGCCTCAAAGACACTTGAAAAATCTCTTTAAGTGGCACATATCTTCTATCCGCTAAGGAGACCAACAGTCCATGGTGGAGTTCACCAAGCCGTGGTGACCAACCTGGCTTCAATCTAAACAGCAGTATAAAGACTACCTGGTGGCTATGGCGGTAACTTCGCTAAACCCCCTGGGTAGTAAGACAAAGGGAGGAATATCACGTAAATATTCAGAAAGGCCTTTAGTGCTCTTTTCATCCAATTTGGCTGCCTACCGAGAAATGCTTATCAGTGACGGTATCCCACTATTTATTTTGATTCTACTTTTAACATATGGGTACAGATTTCTGGGGAAATTCAGATCGTCCAGCCCTTATTATCTCCCATATTCTATATGATTTTCAACAGTCACATATTTGCAGAGGTTACAAGTTTTACCGTGGCTCATCCGAAACTTCTCCCTCTCTATTACAGTGAACTGACCCAACTATCTTTTTCGCTTTCCGATAATGTCCTTATTTCGCCACCAATCCGGGATGGTTTATCCAGTGGAATTTGAGGGGTAGACCATAGTACTAGGGGTGAAGTGATGTATTCTAATATATTCCTAAATCTCATGCAAACTTCCTCTATAGTCTTATTTGTATATATTGACCAGTCAGTTAGAGTTGCTGCGTTCCGGATTGCCAGTATATCCTCTCTTCAAATGTTTGGAAGAGAAAATGTCGACGTATATTTGAAATCGTGAATCTTGCATACAAAAGTAGAAACTACATGGTCAATACCGCCCACTGATAGGAGGCATCTAATGTCACTAACATCTTCCTGGTGTGTTAGTCTAGAAACCAAGTGGTCAGGCTGACTGGATAGCTTCGAGCTCACTTCCAGTTGGTTTTTACTCAGAACAACGATCGTGACTGATGTTCTGCCATCTGTGCTTGTGGATCTCAGCTCTGGCCACACCACTTTCCGAATTTTTAGCCTCATCCACCTAACTCAGTGGCTAAGCTGTTCTTAACACAGCCCCAATTAGCTATATGAGCGTATAGTAGTTACGGGCACTGAAGGGCATGTTTATTGACAAATATTTGAAGGGAAGGTGAAGATACACAATCACAACACAATGAAGCTGCCGAGCTGATGTCCCTTGCAAACCCAATAGTCCACCCCATGTTTCAATCTGTACAGATAAACAACTTGGTCACTGGATGTTCGATGGACTTCACGGACTTTTTAACCTCTATATTAGCACTAAGTCTACAGCAGAGGGATCATTTTAAGGGTCTGATTGCTTTGGCGCATGTGCATGCTGCATAGATTCGCATTTGCAATAATGATAATTCACTTCATATAAACTGGTGTTCACAAGAAATGCATGTCATTTTTACAGGCACGATCAGGTATGTCATACATTACAATCGTGAAGTATCATAAATTTTCAAAAGTGTAAATTGTTCGATTGTTGTACAAGCAATGAGAACCGGTTCTTATAAAAGTTAAATTGCAAACCCTACACTAAGGTCACCATCAAAGTCAAGCGACAACCCAAAATTCGTTTCGTTTCCTGCTAATAGTTATGATCAACAAGTGAATAGCGTATAATTGGGTAAGTGCTATGCCTCCACGTGATTAGAAGCTACCTCAGGAAGAGGGGAACGTCCTGGTGGACTGAAAAAGGCATAAAATACAATAATGGATAATAAATCATTGGAAGTACACATACATTTGAGGGCTGCCGTTGTAAGTTCTTTTTCTGAAACTGGCATACAGGCTTTTAATACATGTGTAGAACTTAGGGGTAGACGTTAAATGCCATGTTCTAGTAGCGCTGTTAAAATTTCCCTTGGAAATTTTTTTGTCAATAATTTTTAATGAAATTGCGTTATATGTGATCTGGATTGATGAGAATTCCCATTTTCTGGCCTGTTATTTTGGTGTCCGCGTCATGTAATCTGACTGCGACACCCCCTAGCATATTGGTTGCAACGATCAGTGTTTCAGGCGAACTGTAGCAAAATATCGCTATAGTGAGAAAGATAGGATAGTTGAAGGGTAATTTCATCTACACAAATAATGTACTGTATTCAGATGCTGCACCTTTCGTCATGGTATCATTCAATGGAGACTTCACGTCTCAGGATATTAATTCAGCCTATTTTCGTGTGAAGAACAGTCCTTTTTGACAAAAGAATTCTATCAGTACTTCGAAATCACCTGTAAATGCTAACAGAACCTTCTGTGGGAATAGAAGTAATCATGTGAATTTGTCTCACCGTATGTGTGTTTGGACAGGAATTATCATAGGTTGAGAGGTTATTTCTAAATGTATTTCATGTATATTTGCACTGTTTGGTGTATCGTTATATGAGTTATTTGGACTCAATGTATAAAAAATATCTCAACTTTATTTATATTGTGCCACTGCTAAGCTGACTGCTTGGCTGGCAAACGTAGGTGGTTGTCATGATTATTGTAAGTGCAGTGCAGTGGAGAAGGCAATCACTCGTTTAAATTTCCTTACTGTGCCACTTAGTGCATTAATTCAGTGTATAGTATTATTATACACATGAATTGTGTCGATTATGAGAACTGAATCTAGTCAGCTCTATTACTATCAATCTACTGTCTGTTATGCCATTCTCACTGGCACTGTAAGCTTAATGCTGCACTGTTTTTGATCACCAGTAGTGGTGATGAATTTTTCCTGAATTTCCCATTGACATGAAGCAGTAGAGATGCAGTGTCACGATCGAATGTCTAGGTTGCATTATATGTCATTGTTATCCTCATCAACGCAACAGGTCTGCGTATGATATTAGGTGGTTGGAGGCAATCGGCAGGAAGCCTTGGACCTAGGTTTCGTGCTAGTTGGCACTCGTCAGCAAGGCGTATCTGCAACCTTGAAGGAACTCATGTCCCTTCTGAGATTCGAACCCGCGTCACCCAGTGCTGCAGTCAGAGACGTTACCACTGAGCTATTCGGGCTCGCGATTGACCTCCTGTAGGACTGTAGTGGATATTTTGATTTGACACTAGTAACTAGTGTGATGCGTCTAGTCCTCTCTTTGGTGCAGACTGAATTCTATCAGTCAGGTTGTAATGTGGCCACCATTCTAGGTAGCTCGCCATCACGGTGTACATAGTTTGTGATGATATTAGGTGGTTGTAGGCAATCGGCAGGAAGCCTTGGACCTAGGTTTCGTGCTAGTTGGCACTCGTCTCAGAAGGGACATGAGTTCCTTCAAGGTTGCAGATACGCCTTGCTGACGAGTGCCAACTAGCACGAAACCTAGGTCCAAGGCTTCCTGCCGATTGCCTACAACCACCTAATATCATCACAAACTATGTACACCGTGATGGCGAGCTACCTAGAATGGTGGCCACATTACAACCTGACTGATAGAATTCAGTCTGCACCAAAGAGAGGACTAGACGCATCACACTAGTTACTAGTGTCAAATCAAAAAAGGTCTGCGTATCTTACAATATTTTAAGTGTTTCTCTATGCTGCTAACACTGTGCATAGTTGCTTAGAGTTGAGGCATGTTCAGCTTATATTTGACGGCTATAGATTCCTAAATATGAGAATGTAATTTCTGTAGGATTCATAAAACTATGCTCATTAGACAT